TTTAGGTCACGCCAAGGAAGAGAAGCATGGCTGTAAGTACGCAAAGTGATAAGTGATATGTACTTGTTGTGCCGCTACTGCTGGTCGCATGACGTTGCTTGTTTTCGGCGCAGCTGCTGTCGCAAGTTTTGCAGTGCCAAAGTGATCGTGGTCGAAGGGACGGTGAGGGAATTGGAAGGCCACGTGGAGAACTGTGCGCCAAGCTCACAACAAGAGCTAGAGCGCAACATGCTCCGAGCTAGCACCAAGCGGAAGGCAGTGGAAAGCCTGGATGCGCGCCCTGCCAAGGTTCTCCGGCGGTGTCTCGGCGAGAGTCAATACGAGAACATAGATATCGGGGACACAAAACTGGTACGTTGGAACTTTCGTACGCCTTTTTATTTTCATTTTTTTATTTATTTATTTTCGTATATTTTCGCAGATTCGGCGCTCAATTTACCGGCAACGGCGCAAGAATATTCCCGCATTGCCTAAATCTCACGACAGTGCGTTAGAGGCATTCCGCACCATGGAACTGACAACCAAGACCGGGGAGAAGTTTGTGCACGTCAGTGCGGAGGGAAATGTCTCTTTCTTCCCTCGGATTCCCCCGCGCGCGCCGCAATCGACAATCCGCGCCTCGGCCCCGCCGCAATCGACACTCGACCCTTCTGACCTGGGGGCTTAGTGCCGCAAACGACCATACGCCCTCCTTTGTGCTCATGCATCTCGCCGATGAGGCGATGAGGCTGAGCGAGGCGGTGCTAACGGGACTCGTCGCTCTCCGTCCGGCCGGCCCGCACGCCCGCACACCGCACACCACCACACGACCGACGAAATTGCAAAACACAACATCATTACTTTTGTGTGCCAGAGGCTCTGCCTCGCTCGCCCTCCTCCTTTTTCCGGGAAAAGAAGAGAGAAATCATTTTTCAGTCGACCGTTCCGTCCCCTCGACGACGACATCCTCGGCGACGTGATGCGACGTCCTGGTCACCGCCCTGCTGCCCAGCCCCGGGCCCTAAGCCCTCTAAGCCCTCAAAGGCGCCGACGCCGGCCGCCCGGGCCGTGCAGCGGGGACGGCTGTCCTGGGCCAGGACGACGACGCGGACCTCCGGCCGAGGCCTACGGCCCCTTTTGCACAATCCCCTGCCTCCGAGAAACAAAAGCGTTAGGAGGATGCAGGCAGACGGTCTGGACGGTGGTCAGGACACGGGCGAGACATGATCAGGGCGCGGCTAATGCGGACGACCTGCAAGTCCCTGGGCAGAGCTGGGGGAGGGGGGTGGGAGGGCCTTCGTACCTCTCTCCTCTTGATGCGTGGGGCCGACCTGCAGCTGGCCTAGGAGGGGCCCAGCTGGGGGCGTGGGGCCGACCTGCAGTTGGCCAAGGAGGGCCCACAGCTGAGTGAGGTATTCCGCAGCTGGGGGGTGCATGGCGTGATACTACAGGTGGAGCCTGCAGCTAGACGAAGAGGGGTCACAACTGATTAAAATACACAGTAGTCTGAAGCTGCGGTAAAGAGGCCAACGGTCAACGGTGCACCAAATAAATCAGTTTTGTGCTGAATCTGTTATCGGTTCAGCAGGTCTTTAGACTCTTTCAGCAGAAGCGAAATGAAGAACAACGGACCGGTCACAGCTGCTTTTAATTTTAATCATCCAAACGAATACCAAACACTCGAAAAACATGTAGGTCATAACATTTATGTATACTGTAGACGTATATTTTGTATTTTGCACCCGAGCAAGTAAGTTTGGAGATTTAATTGTTTGCGTCTTTTTGAACTATTTTTTTTTTTTTTTGCGCCTGTTGCAGGTAGGTTACTTGTGGCTGAGGTCAAGATGCGCCACCACCTGCAATCAAGAACGTGCGCAGAAAAAGTCTTCTCTTTTTATGCTCAGCTAATTTGGTAAAAACCGATTCCCTCGCTTTCAAGCTAACGGGAAAACCTAGGGAACCCTACATATAACGAGGGGGGGGGGGGCAGGTTTTACCGGAACGGCTGCTTGGAAAACCAGACGCCATCCTAGCCGTGCACTTAAAAAACGCCAAATTACCATAAGACACTTTGCTGCTCCAACGTTAAACCTCGAAACCCAAGGCGGGGCGCGGCAACCCGACCCGGCCGAACGGAAACACGGTCTCGGTGCGGGCGAGAACCGTTAGCCGTGTGCAGCACACAGCGCACCGAGCTGCCGTTTCCCACGCCCCCTTGCGGGCCCCGCGGCGGGGCCGGGGGGACCCGTAGGGCGGCCCATGGGGCCCGTAGGGGGCGGCCCCCGAACCCCCTGAGGGCCGGCGGCACGTCCAGCGGACCATCATTAACGGCGTCCAAAAAGAGAGTTTGGGGAGTAAGGGGGGGAGGGGGCCGGGCAGGGTGGGCACAGAGGAGGCCCGCCGGTGCACGAAGGGGTGCACGACAGCTCAGGACAAATCTACTTCCTCTTTGAGCCGCTCATGCCGCAAAACTTGAGGAAGGAGGGGAGGGTCAGCTAAATTGTAACCGCACGAAACATTAACGTGCTCTATTACATCAACGTTCATCTGTCCGACTTGGTATCGCACTTCAGACGCCTAATTGTAAACGCACTCCTGAAGTAATCCACCAACACCCTGCGACACGGGCACCTTGATCATCAAGAGCAGAGACTTGTTTTGCAAAGGCCTCTCCCGAGCTGAGCCTTCCTGTCGACCGAGTCTTGGGGGATCTTTGTGGACTCGGAAGAGAGAGTGCGCCGTGTGGTTGTGGCCCGACGCGCCCTGGACGCGCCCCCCAGAGCCCGCTGCAGGAGGGGCTCGGCCCCCACCGCCCTGGAGTACAGGTACGTGTGGCAATCTGTATAACAGATCTCATAACGGTCCTGCTTCCATAATTCCTTGCAGAAAACGACAGCAGCGGAAAAAGGTATATGTGTGTATGTCTCTGTGTGTGTGTGTGTGTGTGTGTGTGAGTGCGGGCGTGCCTGTGTGCGTGCAAGGAGCGCTCGACTGGCATTCCGAAAAAGGGCCTGCGTCACCACAAAGCACTTCTCTGGAAGCGGCGAGCACGGCACAGCACTGCGGCTGGACCTGTCATTCATAAGTAGGCCGAGGAGAGGCGGGGGCGGGGTGGGGCGGGGTGGGGCGGTCCTCGCCTGGCCAATACTTCCCCCAGGGACAGGCACACCGAGCGGGGCGCCTTGCCCGCCTCGCCTTACCTGCACGGCGCAACCCTTGTGCAGTCCTTATGTTATATGTGCGGTGAACAGTGCAGAGAGGAGGGGTTGGCGAATTTAAGAGGAAAAAAAAGTCGTCTTTCTTATTCATTGCCGCCTGCGGTGTGAGTGTGCATTATTCTCACAATATTATGGAGTGGGTGGCGAATAATGCGTTTCCGGCCAGCCCTGAAGTTTTCGTGTTTCACTTTGAAACGCATTACACAAAGTCACACATTTACTTTTAATTATTTTCATGCATACTTTACAATGTCTTGCAAAAGCATTTTTTTTTTAGACAAATCCTAGTTTTACCTCATCCCTACCCTCCCCACCACCACTAAAAAAAGAATAGCAAATACGTAGTAGGCGTCTCTTTTTGTCGTTAGAGCGGTTGAGCCTCCTCCTCCTCCCCGCCCCCCTCCCTCCCCTCACTTTTGCTGCCATCCCCACACACTCTGTCCTTAAGACGCATTAGAGCCAATGTGTTTGTCCTACCCTCGCCTCATTGTGGCCTTTTATTGATCAACACCTCCGTGGTTTGCGGCAGAATTAAGGGCACATTTTTTTTCTTTCCACATTAAGCGGGGCGGTCGCATTAAAAAAGACAGGAAGAAGTAGAATTCATGTTCCGTTTTTTTAACAATCTGATGGTTACTATAGTTACTGTAATTAGCGATGTGCCCCGAAAGCGATCGGCGATAACAAATAAAATGTTTTGGTAACATGTTCGGTTACTGCTGGATACGAACATTTTCAAAATTGTTTAGTGTATGTTAGTTTACGTAGCACTGTGGTTTTTGGGCCTTGAGTGACACACTGGCCCAATGGCCTCCTGGGCCGGGCCAGCAGCGCGCAAATCGGCGACCATTGGAAAACAAAGCCGGGTTCGCGAGAAGTGCCCCTGGGCCGATGTACGAGCGAGAGAGACAATCGGCTATGGTGTGGTGTTCGGGTGCGAGAGAGAGACAGGTGGCTCGACCACAATGCAGCCAGGAGTCAGGTCGCGCAGCGTCGTGGTTGACCCGAGCAGAAAAGGCCTTTTTGGCAAGTGAGCCCCCCGATCGTATATTACTGCCAAACGAGAGGCAGGCGTCCGGAGACGGCGGCCGGTCGTCCTCGTCTCACTCGCACTCGAGGCGGGGGGCTGGGGCGAGAGAGCGAGCGAGA